ATTGTGACTGTAGACGATCATGTTATTAATAAGAGTACACATTTTAGATATTTTGGGTCTTTTGTTTAGAGTGATGGTGAAATATATGGAGATATTATTAGCAGAATTCAAGTTGAATGTTTGAAGTCGAGTGCATTGGGCTTGTTGTGTGATAGAAAAGTCCTCAAACTTAAGGAAAAATTCTATAAGATGGTGGTGAAACCTATAATGCTTTATGGTGTAGAATGTCGACTATTAAAAGAGAATCAAAATATTAAGTTAAGTGTTGCAGAGATGAGGATGCTCAGATGGATGAGTGGCTTTACTCTTAAAGGCAGGATACAAAATGAGCATATACGTGAAAATGTTGGAGTAGCTCTAGTGGAAGATAAGATTAGGGAGAGTTGTTTTAGATGATTTAGTCACATAAAATGGTGGCCTCCCGATGACCTAGATAGGAAAGTAGATGTATTAAATTTGGCTTATGTTAAGAAAGGTAGAGGTAGACCTAAAAAGGATTGATTAGAAAATATTTGAAATGTCTTCTTTATTAGATTTAAATGAGAATTTGACGACATAATGGAGAAAAAAAGATTCATTTAGTCAACCTCATGTAGTGGGATAAAGGCTTGATGTTGTTCTTGTTTGAATTTTACATTTATAAGATATTGAGTATTACACAATAAGACTAGTTGTTCAATAACTCCAACCTAGTTCCTTCATGTTAGAGTAGTTTTATTTCTCTTCGCTATTGATGCCCTTGCTACCACCTCAATTTTTTATGTGTTATCCCAATTATTTTGTGGTTAAATTTATGAATCCTCATCCTAATTAATGCATTTTTTCAATTTTTTTATAACTTCTATGCAAGTTACCTTTAGCACGTCCTTTTTCTTTCTTCAACTATGCCAATTATTTTGCCCATCATATTGGTGTATCCTCTACACTTTGAGGTGCATGTTTAAAAACTTGGTTTATTTTTCACTCTATTGCATTACTCCCACCATCCTTTTAATACAATATTTTCTTTATCAATGGTCTTTAGTTTTTACTATATATCTATCTTATCATTCTCATTTTTATATCTTATTAACTCTCTATTGTAAGACTTTCAAATGGATACAACATAGTTCACCTAATTTTATGTTTATAAAATTTAATTTTTAGGTCTGATTGATGTTCTCTAGTGCGTAGGGGACCCTTGAAGTATTTATTAATAGTCTTAACTCTAGAAGATATATGAGCATATCCTTGTTCTCATGTACAATAAATCCATGTATTTAAAATGTATCACATTGAGGTTTTAACTTATCTCATTACATATGTAATTGATACTTAGCAATATTTCACTAACTAAAATTATTCATTATATACTGAATCTTTATTTTATTAACAAAGCTCTTTTGTCTCCTTAAATTTTTTTGTTTTCAAAATTTTTCTTATTTTAGCATTCATCTCATACATAAGAATTTAAACTTATTTATCTGTAAGATGCATAAACTAAGCTTTCTTTATAAGCATCTTTATAACTAATAAAAAAAATATGAACTTAATGTTGATATATGATTCAAATCTATCATCATTGAGAAATTTTTTATCACTCAATTACTATTTCTAAAAGTAGTCAATGTTTTATTATATATATCTTTAATGACGCCCAACGTAACTTTGCACACACACCTTCCTCTAGTGCACTTTAAATCAATTTCACCTAGTACTATGCCTTCTCAAGAACATTAAAAAATCATATGAACTTTATTTCTTTTCTCTTTATATAATTTTCCTATTAATAGCTTTGGTACAATAATTATGTTTATAGCAGATTTTCATAGCTTAAAATCAATTTGCTTCTTTGATATTTACATAATTTTCTGATATATATGTTTGATTATGGTTTCCCATAGCTTTATTGTATGATTTAAAAATTTGTTTCTTCTATAATTACCTTAATCCCAAGCATCTCATTTGTACTTGGATGATGCTGCCATGATATTGTCTCTCCAATCATTTGTATCTTTAAACTTTATTAGAAATATTTAATAACTAAATTATTCTAATATCTCCCACAACTCTCCAGATATTAGTAGGTTTCTCATATGGGATATGAGGCTATATATATATTAGAGCTAACTCCACTTTACTTTAATGGATCATTCTATAATATGCTTTTTTAATTTTTCTTTTGGAATCTTTCAAACTATTTCTTTATTTCAATTCATATTTAATAATTTTTCAAAATATCATTTTTCATCTTTTTTCAACTTTAATTAATATATTCTTATCATCATTCTAACAAATCTAACTTGGCCAAATTTTTTGTATCTCGTCTCTTTTTTTGTAGGTCAAAATCAAATGTGTGTTGTTGAGTTTAAAGATTCTATAAGTAGCTAGATGCAAGAGCAAAATTATGAAAAGAATTCTTGTGGGTGGGTGTGGGGCGTGTCGTATCTTCACATTTATGCGCATAAGAGTTGGTTTTTGTATCTAATGGGTTTTATGCTCTCAATATAATTAATTTTCAATTATTTGAGCTTCAAAAATATGTTTGTATATTGCATACGTGATCCCTCACCCAACCACCTTGAGCCTCATACATTGGGTATACAATTTTTTTTTATCCTTTAAATATAAAATTAAAGACTTGATATTGATCTAGGATATTCAAAAAGTTGATATCATGTTGACAGCATTTCATGTATACTTAACCATTGATTAAACATGATAACGAAATAACCTATTGTTGACCTTCGTATAATATCCAAAGGAAAATAAAAACGAAATGATACCTCTGCTCTGTTGAATCCCCGATATCCCGCAAACCTCGGACTCGACGAATCCGCGAATCCCGCTGAAACACTGTAGACGGCGCCGTTTGAGTCGTATCTTGCGGAAATCCTGCCCGAATCCCGCATTTCGCCCTCGATAGCATCCCGTTTGCGTCTATAAGAGGGAGACGAGCTCAAGCCTTCGGAGATACCACGACCAAACTCCTCTCCCACTCCCGACGCCTTCTTCCTCCTCTTGCCCGAAGCCACTCCTCCCTCCTCCGACCGAACTCCATCACAGCCGACGCCGATCCCGATCTCAGAGAAGAAGAGAGAGAGAGAGAGAGAGAGAGAGAGAGAGAGAGAGAGAGAGAGGAAGAAAGACTTGCCTAACCGAGCCATCCACCTCCTTACATTGCCTCCACCGACGGCTCTCCTTTCCTGTCGGGATCAGAAGTTACGCCATTTTGATCGGAAGCTGTAACGGGAGCTCGCTCGGCCGTGGGGGTAACTTTCTGCCTAACACGCGCTTCTTCGGCCCCTTCCTGGGCTTGATTTTTTCCGTCTTACACCATACTCTACAAATGTTGTCTCACTATTTCCATTATTCATTAGTGTTTTGCCTTTTATGAACTTGATGCACATGAGTGATACACCTTGTAATAATAAAAAATGTCAATTTCAGCTTAGCCAAGTTTGAGTCAAGTTGAAAGGGATTGATGTAAAGTTGACTTTCAAGTTGATAAATGCTTTTTTATCAATTTATGCAATTTTTTTTATTTTATAAAATATTTATTACTAATAAAGATTATATATATATATATATATATGTGTGTGTGTGTGTGTGTATTTATATATTTCCATACATACTATTATTATAAAAGAGACTTATGATTCTTCTAACGTGAAATCTTTGCCCTTCATTTAATATCCTAATAATAAATCCTAGCCTTTTTTTCATGTCGTATTTATGTAATAACTTTTAAGTTGCCTGTTAATGTTCACCTTTCTCTCTGCATAAATTTATATTTCGGAATTTTAAGAGTTATAATTCAATTAATAAAATTGGATGCATATATAAAATATAAAAAGAATCATCAGAATACTAATGGCTAATCCTAATTTTGAATTGTGACTATTAGATATTTTGGTCATAAATTTTCATTTAATGTTGCATTATATTTAGAAATCTCCATGCACTATATATATTCCAAAAAGATTATTTTGGAATTAAAAGTCAAACTATTTGAGCTTTAAAGCTCATCTCAATTTTGTTTTTTGCCTAATTTAATTTTTTTTTCTCTTTCTATTTCTCCTTAAAGTTATCTTAAGAAATTTTCGTTTTTATTGATGTTAATGTTATATAATTTATTCAAGAGTTGTAATTCAATAAATAAAGTTGGTTGCATATATGAAATATACAAAGAGTTATAAGAAGACCAATTGTAAATCCCGATTTTCAATTCTAATCAATATATAATTTAGTCTTAACTTGTCATTTAATATATTCTTTATACAAATTTTCATAGACCCTGTATATACCCAAAGAATCATTTATGAATTATAAGTCAAGCTACTTGAGCTTTAAAAGTTATCTCAAATTCATTTTTATTGCCAAGTTTAATTTTTTTTTTTATCATTCTATTTCTTCTTAAATTTATATTTTAAAATTTCTATCTTATTCTAATTGGATTCTCATTAATGTTTATTTTATATCATTTTTGCTAATGTTCAATTTTTCATATTCTATTATTTGTTATCTTTTCAATATTCAAATTTACCATCTTAATATTAATTCCTAACCTTTCATTTTTGTTATATTTTTATTATAAATTTTAAATCATCCCATCATTGTTTATATTTCTTTTTGAATACAATTCATATATTAGAATTTTAAGAGTTATATTTCAATGATTTATTGAATTTTCTTTTATAATATTTGTGTAAGATCATTCATATTTCTCTTTGAATGTTAAATATGTTAAATATTATCAAAATTTTAATGTATTTGATGCCACTACTGGTAATCTTATATTTACCTCTTCATCGAGTATCTACATTAAACATTTTATTAAACCTTCAATCTAAACTTGGAGTGCCAACAGTTTGAGCTTTAGAATGTTCTAAGACTCAATACAGTTGGTTGCTCAAGAAAAAAGTAAGGTTAATTGTGTCATGCAGTGTCCTTTTCCTCACTCTCTACCCTTGGTTATGGTGGAGAATTCAACCCTTGTTTTTTTTGCAATTAATTTGTAGGTTGGCAAAAGTAGTTTAAGAGATTTACTTGTACAATGTTGCATGGATGACGCTACTGATATTCGGCAAAGTGCACTTGCACTTCTTGGCGACCTTGCAAGGGTGACTAAAAAAATGTTTCTGAGTTTTCTCACATTTTACACTGTTATGCATTTAAGAATAGTTCAACCTAAAGTTTTGGGATGGCCCCAGGTTTGCCCTATACATCTTCATTCACGCCTCTTGGACTTCCTCAACATTGCAACTGAGCAACTGGTATGCATGTTTTGTATGCTACAAACCAATATTCCATGGTATACAAGTAACGTGTTTTCTTTTTCTTGCAGAATGTTTCTCAGGTAAAGGAGGCTGTATCTGTAGCAAATAATGCTTGTTGGGCACTTGGGGAATTAGCAGTTAAGGTAACTGCATTACTCATCTTAGATATGTTCATCATTTCTTGTCTGCAGCTCCGTAATTGCGTTAAGTTTTAATTAGATTTTGTTTCAGCATGTTGAACATTCTTTACCATTGTATCTTTTAGCAGTTATTTTAGTAAGAAAAATTTATTATCGCCTGTTTTAATTAGCTGCACGGAGCCTTTTGAATCAACAAAATTAAGTGAACTGCTTTATTAATCTTTTATCCATTTCAATTATTTTTTTTTTAATTTCTTTTTAATCTCCAGAATGATGGTTAACATACAGTTTATATCTAATTGTGCACATTGCAAATTTGTGCCTGGCTCTTCTAAGAGGCTGATTATTTCAAGTTAAATTTTAAAAAGGCATATTAGATTGCATATAAAATGCTATCTAGAGATTATGTGCTCATTTTACGAAGACTTTAAGATTGGGTCCTAGATTTCTCATAGACGCAAGCCTCTATAATTAATTAACCCCTTCAATGAAAAGAGAGAACTTTTGATTAATACTAATTAATAGAAGTTAAATGCTTAGTTTATAGTAGTAACAATTCTATTCTATAATTGAAAAATTTATCACCAGTAACATAAAATAGATAATGGGGGGAATGATAATGAACTTGATCTAGTGTCATTGTTCTGTCATTCAAGGTTGTCATGGATCTTGATCTACTTGTTCATCATTGGTAGTCAAGCCCATCTTATCGAAATATCCTTGCTCGAAGCCAACTATTGCATTGCCTAACGTAATCTTGTGGACTTGGGATGGATGTTTGTCTATAAAGACATTTTTAAGTTAAACTTATGATAGATGTTTTGTACGATATCAAGTGCACCAATGATTCACAATTCATGGGGATAGAGCCATTGGTGAATATCTGCGCTTCAGCTGTAATTGTAATTTAATGTTTCTATTTTTCTATAAAATCACATGATTAGAGGGCCCTAATCATAATTGATATATTGTGGTGGCATTTGGTTGTAGAACTACTCGGTTTTAAGACATCTGCAACATTTTTAATTGATATGACGTCTTTTGAGAACTAAGATGCACAGACATAGACACAGCGACACGGATATGACATGACAAGGACACGGGACACATCAATTATTGAAAATATAGGACACGGACACGGGTTGGACACGATATTATAGTTTTTATATTTTAAAAATAGTTTATGAAATTAAATAAGTATAATTTTAAAGATAATTTAGAAATAATAAGTCATTTAAATAGAATTTATGGTTAAAATGATTAGTATTAGGATGTCAAGAGTCAGGTGCCGATGCAATTTATCAGTCACCGAGAGAGGAGATAAAAATACATTCACTGTCAAAGAGAAATGAAAATGAGAATATTCGATGAATAGGCATTAAGTGCTGACGTTGATTTGGTGTTGTGGATAGGAAATAAGAAATTTAATTTTAATCTCTCAAAATATAATAAATTTTATTTAAAAAAAATTATAAAATATTTAAGATACACATATCAGACACGTGTGTCCAATTTGTATTTAATATTTTTTAATTGGACATATTTTCGACGTGTCCGACACGTGTCGAAGGAGTGTCGGTCGAGTGTCATGTTGAATAAGTGTCGGACACTGGACACTTCTTTGAGGAGAAGTGTTGGTGCATCATAGATGATATATTTGATATGACATTGGGTCTTTATCAACATAGGTTGGTATTAAATTTGTCACCCTCGACATACTATTGTAGAGGGATTGGTTGTGGGTTTAAGCTTTAAGTTATAATCATATATTTAAGTTTGAGTGAAGAAATTTTCAATATAATATATAAGGATCTAGGGGTGGTGAGCCCCCCCCCCCAGACACCCCTGGGTCCACCACTTATGAATTTAGGAGTTTAGTGCATGCATCAAAGAATTTGCGGGCAAGTTTTTCTTTGAAAATTGAGATGTCTTTGGTTGAGGTTCATTCTTTTCAATGTGATTACATTACTTTTAAGGCACTTGCACGCCTCCCTTGATATTGCATTATTCAAAAATTAATTGTTTGAGCGAATATTGTTACTAAGATGCGCTTAACTTTTCATTTTGGGCTTCAAAACATTTATTTTGTCCTCTTGTTCGTATAAGATTGTTTTTTAGCGTGGCGAGTTATGGAAGAAAACAATTTTTCTTTTATTAATTGGACAACTTTGCACATTTCTCAACATTCAAGTTCATAGTGCATAATATTTTTAAGAGTTCGTACCTCATCTGCTAACGAGGTAGAGGGGGAAGGGATGAGAGCCACAAAATAAAAGCCACACATAGGCGAGCTAATGAGTGGCTGAAGAGGCGGATTGATAATGGCTTCAAGAGGTGTTATGGGAGAAGCCTGATGTACACGATTTGTCATTGACTTTAGAGAAGGTGAGTGTTGTTACAATTTTCTTAGAAGTGTGGGTAGCTAAATAAGTTGGTTGTAGTGCAGGAGAGGTGCGGACGTAGAGTACGTGTGAGATGGGCTAAGTTGTGCAGATGAGGGTTGGAGGTTTGACAGGTTTAGGCTAGGATGTGGAATAGGGAACAAGGAGTGGAGCCAACACTTGGAGTGTTCAAGGAGGAGGTGAATCAGAGATTAGGAAGTGGCTACTGGTGTTGGTCTAGGTCACTACTAGGCTATGCTAGTTGGAGGATGGTTATGTGGGAATTAAGGAGCTTAATCATGCTATGGCTCCCTAGAGCCACCAAGTAGCCAAGGACAACAATTGGAGAAGTCGACTTGAATCATTGCTTGGAGCAACCTTTGTGAACACCTCACAAACTCCCCCTCACAAGATTCCCTCTCTCCCGAGCTCTCCTTCTCCTTCTCTAAGTTCTCTCAGGTCAGGACAACATCAAAAGATTTTTTTTTCATCAGCAATTGAAAGAGCTTGAATAAAAGGCCTTAAAAAACACCATAATTTTCAACTTGCCGTCAAAGATCCGTCCAGTCGATCGTCCTGTACGATTAGTTTAAATCAGCACTTCCAGCCAAGACGATATGGGTCTCCTGGACGATTAGAACATTGTCGTCTAAGACAATGTGGACATCGTCCTGTACGGTTATCTTAAAATCATACATTATCGTCCAACAGATAGCTCAGGACATCCAGGAGATAAATCGGGACGATTTAGAAATATAATTGATCGTCCATGACGATGTTGAGATCGTCCTATGCGATTAGTTCAAAATCAGACTTTATTGTCCAGCCGATAGTTCGGGACGTCCAGGAGATTTAAGAGAAAACTAAGGTTTTTCTTGCAGATCGTACAGTACAATTCTACGATCGTCCCGGGCGATATGATCGATCAATCTAACCTTAATTACTCTCCTAATCACCTAATCAATTTAGACATGATTGGTACGAATTGTTCAGGATGATCAGGATCGTCCTGTTTGATTAGTGCAAATTTAAGAGTTTTAAAATCTTGCCTATTTGAGTTTTTGTGATTTAAGCATATCGTCCAGGACGATGAGAGTATCGTCCAGGACGATTTGCTTAATCAAGTTTACATGACCCAGATGCCCTAATTAGGGTTTCTGTTTTCAATTGATCGTTCAGGACGATTTGAAATCATTTTTGTACGATATGATGAAAAACAGAAAACCACTAACTCACCAAATTTCTCTCCTGAGTGTGTGTGGCAGGTTACTTAGCTTTAGGATCCATCATAGTATATTTGACTCAAGAAAAGGTAAGAGATGCATTCAAATAGAACTTACAGACTGACTTAATCCTAGTCTACTTGATCTTAAGCTGATTGACGTTCCAAGTGAACTTATGGACCTGAAAGATTAGTGAACTAGGCAAATAAAACAGATATGCAAGAATAGCATTAGTCAAGAAACAATAATGTTTGTTATATCAAAATCACTCTACTTGGGGTCCAGATTTGCAACACTAAGTGCATGTGGGGATATGAATGTGAGCTGAGTAAGATATTTTGATTTTCTCATATTTCTAGAAGACGGATATTAGACATGCAACTTCAATCGGCATATGTACCAAAATATGTTGATATTTAGGGATTTCTATTGTGATAGTTAGGTTTGATTTTTAACCTTTTATTTGATTTATAAAATTAAATTTAAGATAGACAAAAAAGATGAAAACTATGTGAGTAGACTCTTCATGCAATTTCTCATCACTCTTGCATGAAAAATTTTGCCCTTATCGTGTGCTGGTAGATTTTGAGTTTCAATTTCGTGTGATGGATAGGCTAAAATGATGCCGGATGAGTGGAGTGTGTTTGTTCCTATTTTTAAGAAGAAAAGTGATGCATAAGAGTGTGCTAATTATAGAGGAATTACATTAATGTGTTATACATTAAATTATGTTTGAGAGTTATGAGCATAGCTTATGATGCATACTAATGTTTCTCAAAAATCAATTTGGATTCATGCCAGATAGGTCTACTATGGAAGCTATACATTTATTGAGAGGCTTGATTGAGAAGTATTAAGAGAATAAAGAGGATCTACATATGATATTTATTGATTTAGAGAAAACATATGATATTGACCCCACGTTGTGGGACATAGGCTTGATGTTGTTGTTGTAGATAAAACATAAGATAAAGTTTCAAGAGAAGTACTTTGGAGAGTTCTAGAAAAGAAAAGAGTTAATCATGCTTATATTCAAATCATTAAGAAAATGTATGCATGAGCTGTTACTAATGTCCAAGTACATGATGGTTTGATTACGTATTTTTTCTATTTCAGTTAGATTATATCAAAGATTAGCTTTAAGCCCATATCTTTTTGCTTTAGTCATGGATGTTCTTACTAGACATTTATAAGAGTGTGTGCCATGGTGTATGCGTTTTTCTATTGATGTTCTTCTTGTTGATAAGACTAGAGAGGGAGTTGAAGGAAAGCTTGAATTATAGCGGTCAACCTTAGATTCTAAAGTTTTTCGTTTGAGTAGATATAAAATCAAATACGCGGAGTATAATTTTAGAAGTAATATATAGTGGGGGGATTATAATTTGGGTGATCAAGTTGT